ATAAATATATAATATATATTATATAAATATATAATATATATTATATATAATATAATAAATATATTATATAAATATATATTTCAAAGAATCACACAGGTGTCAGAGATAAGATTTGAACCCAGATCTCTGACTTCTGTTGCTGTTGACCATGCTGGAGCCTGAATCTGTTCTGCTAAGGGAACCATTGCAAGGAGCGAGCCTTGCTTAATTTGCATTATTTTCCCCAAGACTCTTCTTTTAGCTTTGGCTTATAGGCCATCACCTATGCTCTGCATTCTCCAGCCTCCAGGTTACACTGCACTGAAGTGATTGGAGAATGATAGACCAGAAGATCTTCCCGACAGCTTCCCTGAATGTCTCTGGGTACAAGGTCAAGCAGGGTGCTCTGTGTGTGTGTGTGTGTGTGTGTGTGTGTGAGTGTGTGAGAGACAGAGAGATGAATAAGTGTTTGCTGTGAGAGTGCTAAGCACTGATAAAAACACACACACAAAAGACAGTCCCTGCCCTCAGGGAGGGAATTCTGATGGAGGAAACATTGTAGAAAGAGGAGAGCTATCTGCAGGGACTAGAGTGGGACAAGAAGATGGCCTACATCAGAGATAGAATACAAACCTTGGTCTCCTGTCTCAATCCAAGGCCAAAGCTCTTTCCATTCAAATACACAGACAATAATCCTTACCCTAAGTCAGAAGAAGAAGGGGTGAAAAGGAAAGGATGAAAGAAAACCTTCCTTCTGAGTCTCTTGTCCACCTCAAGAGTAGAGGGGATTGGGCCTGCGATCCATCCCCCGCACGTTTGTTCCTTTCTTCCCTCGTCAGACGAGTTCTGAGCCCTGAAAGACTAGACACCTGAGTGTGTTTCTCCAAGGGATCCAGGTAGACTGCAGATCTTTTAGGTGGCATCTTCCTATGAGGGTAAGGAAAAGGAGAGCTTGGGCAGTCTCCTATCTTTCCTCCTGAACCGTGGGATTAGGACCTGAGAAAAGTGGGAAAGAGGCTAGTCATTTGGGAGAGAAGGGCATGGTCACTGTGGGGGCTCTGGGGAAGAGAAGGAAAGGCTTTGTCCTGAGGGAAGGGATTCACCTTGTTTGACCTCCGAAAGGAAACGAGATCTCCCAGTTGACTCAGTCTGGGGGTTAGCATTAACATGACCCTCTTCAGCACCCATCCACATACACTGAAAATCCAAATTTCTGCCTGTGGCCCCATGGCCAGTGGGAACAAGATTCAAGCTAGCAGAAGCTATTTTGAGAATGGGGGAAGTGGGGTAGGGGAGGAAGAGGGTTAGTCCCATTCATTAACAAGTATTAAGCACCTCCTGTGTACCTGCCAGATATATATATATATATATATATATATATATATATATATACACACACACATACATATATATATGTATGTAAAGATGAGTGAAACAGCCTCTGCCTTCAAGAAGTTTACATCCAGGTGAGACAACATGCACATTTATGTCTACACAAAAGAGATAGACTTATTTCAGCAGAGGGCTCCAGGAGATAATACGTGTTTAGGTGGGAGTGGGAATGGAAGATCATTCCTTGCTATCTTCCCCAGTCTCTGCCCTGGCAGCTGCCCTCTTCACCGCCCCCCCGGGACCTCAAGCTGCCTGGGCAGCTGGTGCAGATGTTCCTGGCACACACCAAGAAGCCACCTGAAGTCCCTCTCACCTCCTCATCAAGGGGCCTCAGGCTGGAGAAAGTTGAGCTGCTGTGATAATTTGCCACAGTCTGATTCTTCTTTCCCTAAAGATCAGGAATCTGCCCATCCCTCTTCCCAGTATCTCTTTTCCGCACACCTCAGTAGGCCACCCAAGGACATTCTGGTAAATGTTTAATAACTGGGCTGGCTAGGGAGGGGAGGGGGGAGAAGACAGAAGTATCCACATACTTTTAAGTTTAATTTACATCATTACCACTTCCCATCACTTAAGTTTAGAAATCAATGAAGTAAATCTAACAATCGGGTCCGCAGGTTCGAGCTGGTTCCAGCGCATCCCTGTACCATTCCTATCAGTTCCCTTCACCCTTTACCGCCTCCTGAAATCCATCCTATGTGAACCCTCTCTCTGCTGGAGCCTGAGAGGATGAAGCCTGAGGCGCATCATAGAGTCTCAGGCCTAGAGCTATAAGAGACCTTAGACAGCCTAGGCCTACCTCCTCCTTTTATAGATGAGGAAACGGAGACCTAGGGATGGCATGCTGTGGCCCAGGTCACTGAGATAGAAAGCATGGGAGGCCTGATTCGGGACCTAGACTCCAGAGCCAGGGTACCAACATAGCTTCCCTCTCCTTTACACCCTACAGCAACTATCCAGCTAAAATCCCCTGACTGTGAACACCAAGAAAATCACAAAAGGGTAGCAAGCAACATGATGGTGTAGGGAAAAGGATCACATAATTTAGAGCTGAGAAGAGCCCTGAAGATCATTGGGATGTGCGGGAAACCAAAGCTCTGGGAGGGAGAAAGAAACTTACTGTAGTAAGTAGCAGAGAGAGAAGACGCCTGGGGGAGGGCAGCTTTTGTGAGCATCCTTTACTCGACAATAGCTGGCATTTATCTATGTAGCACTTTAAGATTTGCAAAACACTCTACATTTATCATCTCATTTTATCCTCACCACAGCCCTGGGAAGTACAAGCTCTTATCTCCAGAAAACTGAAGTAGACAGAAATCAAGGGACTTACTCAAGGTCACACAGCTGGCAAGTGTCTGAAGTCACATTTGAACTCAGTCTTCTTGACTTTGGGTCCAGCTGTGCCACTCTATTATTAGAGGCATTCTATAAGAAAGATAAATGTTCTATTAGAATTAATTATTTTATTACAAAGACATGTAGATGATAGAAAAGAACGCATGAACATGTATATATACATGTATACGTACATGGATATGTGTTGCGTATATGCATACAAACACATATACACACTACAGAGATACAGATTAGACCTGTGATTTCACTGATATGGGAAATTCCCTAGAAGAGATCATTCCCTCTACTAATTCAGATGTTTATCTTCTTTGAAACTTTATTGTCTTAGAAAACTGCCTAGAGCGCTGAGAGTTTAAGTGACTTAATTCAGGGTCACATCGGCCAGTATTGTAGAATATTATAATGTACTATGATTTATGTTATCTATTATATATATATATACATATATATGTATATGTATATACATGTACACATTTATCTATGTATAAACATGTGTACACTTATACACAGGGCAGCCAGGTGGCACAGTGGATAGAATGATGGCCCTGGAGTCAGGAGGATCTGAATTCAAATCTGGCCTCAGACACTTAGGAGCTATATGAC